GGATAATTTTTGTCCAAAAGCAGGGTGCATCATTTCATCAAGTAACATGAATTTCTTCATATGGATGCTGTGTTTTGAGTCTTGCTTTGGGGTAGTTACGATAGAGCAGGTTCTAGTAGCAGAGTGAGTGTTCCTACTTTGCCTCCGTCCTTTGATTACTGATTTCTTGGACTGTTTTCAATGAAACACCCAGATTTTCAGAGTATGCCTGTTTGTGGCAAAATGGGATGACCCAGGGACACCTACCATGCTTCAGATGTTGTCTTGCATAATGCTTGTTGCAGAAAAATTTCCCATGTCCTTCATTCCGCCCAACAGCTTTACAAGATAACATCTGTGTATGCAACCACCTGCTGTAATTTGCTTCTGCCCCTGCAATTCATTACAAGGCACAAAGACACAGCAGAGACTCAGCGCAAAACAGAAATAATGGAGCCTTCTGTACTGAATGAGAGAGCTGTGAGTTTGGTCTTTGGAACTGTGCTTCTCTTTAATGTGCTCATGCTGATTTAAATGACACACTGTAATAAGTGAGATCTATTAAAGTTGGCCATCATGTCTCTCTGTCTTCACTTTTCTGTTTTTTTTTTTTCCAAACCTCAGCTGTTTAATATTAATTTTTACTCACTAGATATGTAGCTCAGGCTGAATTTTTTAGGAAAGAGTTCAGTTATTTTCAAAAATGGTGCTAGGAAAAATATATTATTTTGCTCACGCAGGCACCTTCCTTCCTCTCCCCTGCCCACAGACAGTCCTGTGCTTGGTGTATGGTCTTGAAAGATGGTGGCAATGTGACGGCGAGGAGTTTTTGTGTTAAGGACATACCTTCTGCTTTCCAGATTTAAAATTTATTTTATTTTCATCTTTCCTTGGGGATAGAGGAAAGGTCACAATACTGCATGTGTTCAGTGAGGACTGTTTGTTTTTCACACTCAGCTATTCTGAAGGTTCAACTCCATGTTGAGCAGGAAGATGTTTCATGAAACTGCATTTTGGGAGTACTGAAAAGAGTAGCTAGGTCTGAGGAGGTGCTTGAACTACAAGAAGCTCTCTGACACTGTTATGTAACAACATTTGTGGCTACTGTGGAGAAAGAATCAAATGACAAGTGAACTAGAACTGGTGGCAGTTAAAGAGCCTGCTGATGGTGGGGACGTAAGGAGGAAGGTGAATTCTTGTGATACTAAGGAGGGACTGAGAGCCAGTAGAAGCAGCATGGACGAGGTGAGAAGATGAGGTAGATAATAACGAGGAAATAAAAGACTGCATCAGAGAAGAACATTCAGGAGGAAGTGGGAACTGATAACTAATCAGATAGAAGAAACAGAGGAAGAAGAGTGAGAACTGTGTCTGCAAGGAAGTGGTGTGCAGCAGGAGAGCAGGAACCAGATGAAAAATTAACAGGGGGAGGGGAAAGTGGGAGACTGAGCAAGGAGCTTGGGTCACAGGGGCCAAAGCAGATGAAGAACATGTTGTGTGTGTTATACTGAGGATGAAAAAGAGAAATCAAAGATTGGAACTGTGGGAGTACTGGCACTGGGTGGTAAAGAAATCACAGATTGAAGTTCTGTGGAAAATACTAAGAATGAAGTGAAATCTGGGAAGATGAAGCGCTGTGTGCGGTATCACAAAACGGAGCTTCTTAAAGAAGGAGGTTGCTGTCCTGGCATCATGATTCTGCAACTCCTCTGCTTTCCATTTTTAGTGCCTCTTGAGCTCTTTGAGCCATCTCAGCAACAGAAGCTGGTTGGAGCAGCAAGCAAATCAGCTCCCAGAGGGGTCTTTGGAGAGCAAACTACTGGAATTGAGGGTGTGTGTTAATGGGGGAGTAGTATGACCTTCCTCACATGGCAGCAGTGAGCTGTTAAACCTCCTGACAGATGAGAACTGCGTAGGTGAAGAGAAGCAACTTGAAGCAAGGAGCTTGCTGCAGAGGAGAGGCAGGACTGAAGCAGTAACAGATTGGGAAGAAAGGGTCAAGTTTGAGAGGGAGAAGTTGTCAGAAGAATCAGCCTGTTAGAAATTTCCCTTCTCCAAATGATGAGAGGATCCATTATTTTTGTCAGTCTCACCATTTATTGCTGTCAGCAAAAACTTATAAAAGCTGGAGGAAAGGTGCAGGTTGTATGGCAATAGTACATTAACATCCATTAGTAAAAGGGGAACAGGTTTTTGCAGTAGGCCTAAAGGCTCTGATTCTGCTGATAAGTCTTGTTATAATTTGAGCATCATGGAATTTCTGCCTTATTTAAAGGCTTAGGAAATTATGCATATAGGAAAGTAACACTTTCTTAAAGCTGTAAAATAAAAATTATGAAACGTAAGTGCAGTGTTAATTTGTTGCATTTAGAAATATGCACCATTATTTTTAGTCAGTACCTTTGCTTTACCCAGAATAAAGAATGAGCAGCATTAAAAGACCTCATGAATATATTGTTTCTCATCATAATTCTGTGTCTTACTGTGCCCTATTCAAATTCTGATCTGAGTAACTGTTAATTTCCATAAGCACTCTGGAGTGATCTCCCGTAGTGAGATACTTTGCTTCGTACATACATTACATTTTCTCTGTGTTGTGCATACAGGGAGCTGAAGGATGAGAGTTTAAAAACCAAAAACCCCAACCCCCCATACTGCACTCCCAAAACCCACTTAGCTGGACACATTTATGATTATTAACCTGGCAAAACACAATTCCATATTATGTTTTTATGTACTCTGGCAGTCTGTAAATAAGACCCCAGGAGTTGAATAACCAAGTAAAACACTGCTAGAGAATGTTGTGGAGTGTAGGGGCTAAGTCTGGCTTCATCCCAGGAGCTCTGCTGGGGTCCAGAGGCAAAGCACACGTCCTCATTTTCCAGGGTGATGTTTATGTACCTTTGCAATGACCTTGTCCTTTTCCTCTCTGCACTTGCCCATCTTGCCCACTCTAGACATGGCCTCATTTGTAGGTGTGGTCCATCCTGTTTGCTGAAAAAAAATTGTGTGTGATATTTCTAGTTTTATTCCAGGACTTACTGTTGAAATACTGTCTATAGTTTAAAAGCTTTTGTTAGATTCTGGTGGGGTGTTTTGGGTTCTGTTTTTTGGGGTAGGGGTGCGGGTGGGGAATGAAATGCAAACAGGTGCTGTACAGGAATTTTACAGATCATGCTGATACTCAGATGAGATGCAATAATATTGCCAGTCTGTGTCATTGGTAATATTGAAAATGCTTGTATAATTGAAAGTTTTGAACATTTTTGAGATCTGTAAGTCTGAAGCTTTGGATAACTGGACATTTCTCCTAAAATGTCTTATTGGAGTACTCCATTTACTTGTTTAAACACAATATCAAATTAGCATAGCCATGGAGTATTTGATATCCATTAAAAATATAACAAAACCCAACAAGCATGACAAAAAAAAAAAAAAAAAGGGCTGTGCCTCATGTTAATACTACTCTCTTAAAGAAGCTTTGTGCTTTTGCATGAGAAGTTATAGTCCGGTTTGTGTGATGTATCGGGAGTTCCTGCATAGCCAATGTACATAATTTATTTCTCTGAATGAGGGTTTTATAAAATACTGGGTATCCATGATTGTTTGCCTAACTTAGCAAAGGGTTGACTACTTTCTTCTTAATTGCAATCTACACATCAGCATGAAATAGCAGGAGTACCAGAGGCGACTGCAGAGTCCAAAGGCTAGTGCAGAAGCTACAGCTATTATGTCTGGGTATACTCTTGTCATAACTAAAATATTTGTGAAACAGGTTTGGTATGGCTTTTGTGTGTAATCTGATAATGTGTTTTAATTCTGGTTTTTTTTGAGACCATGGCTATACAATCACCTTGATCACTTTTAAGTCTGCTGTGCAGGGCACCTTCCCCCAGCTCTCTCAGACTCCCTTGCGCTTGCCCTGACACTTGTATGGCTGCATAGAGAGCCAGGCTATGAAACTGACGTAGCTTTAAAAAATATTTATCTTTTTTCTTCTGTTTGTCTTCTAATAGATCAGTTTCCTTTCAGCAGCAACACAGCAGCACAGATTTAAGTTGGATTAAAGTTAGCATGTAACCATGACTTGGCCTTTCATGCAAGTTTACCAGTGAGTGTGGGACATAGATTTTTCTCTTTCTGGGGTTTGCTCTATTTCTGGTTTCCTTTCATCCCTTGAAAGAAGGGCTTATATCTGAGGGTGACCATTCAGACACAAAGGGCCAAATTCAGCAAAGCAGACTCTGGAGGTATGATGTCCCATACAGCATATCTGTTCTGTGGAATTTCTGAAATCTATCTGTCGTAGGAAGAGTTTTTTGCTTATGAGTTCGATTGCTGAGAATTTATGTCTTGGCTTCCTTCAGCAATTTTCATCCTAGTTTTTATTTGGCCATAACTCTCAAGCAAACAACGTACCAGCATCTGGGTGCAGATGACCTGATGTAGCCTCTCCAAATTTCTTTTTCTACCATCTTTAATTTGCATTAGCATAATTAGAAGATGAAATTGATTTTAGGACACTTTTTTTTTTTTTCCTTATTGCAACAGGCTAGGCAAGTTCTTATTTGCCTCAGTAAAACATGCTTGGGAAAGATGAAAATTATCTTTGCCTTAAGTGCAGTGCTCACAAACACTCTGAGCTTCCAGACAGACCTATTTTATGTAAAAAAATATAAAGTTAGGTAACTATTTATTAATACGTTACCAATCAGTATGCAAGCTGCCTATGAGTTTGACTTATTTCAAATGTTAAAATATTCCAACACTGTTCTGTATAGGATAAAGTAGAGAAGGCTAAAATAGCAGCTCTCTTATTATGTTAAGATGACTTGGGAGTTAATGGACAGCTTCTGCGCACACTGAGCTTAGGACCTGGTGTTATATTATTGTATCTTGACATAATTTGGAGCATTCATTGTAGAAGGTATTGCTGTCTGTTGTGTTTTCAGGATAGAGCTCTAAACAAGGTGTTCTCAAACCCATTGCTTAAAATGGTGTGGGCTTTCTTTTTGTTTTCCCCTGCTGCAGGTGTGATGGACAGGTAGCAGAAGATTTCACTTTTGATATCAGGGAATCAGAATGACTGAGTGCTTCCTGCCTCCAACTAGCAGCCCCAGTGAACACCGTCGGGTAGAACACAGTGGGGGTCTTGCTCGTACTCCCAGCTCCGAAGAAATCAGTCCCACAAAATTCCCTGGATTGTACCGCACCGGTGAGCCTTCACCACCTCATGACAGCTTGCATGAGCCTCCAGATATAGTATCTGATGATGAAAAGGAGCATGGGAAGAAGAAAGGAAAATTTAAGAAGAAAGAAAAAAGAAGTGAGTAGGCAATTTCTCTAATTTCCTGCTTATAATTTCTCTTTCATTCCTTCTCTCTCAAAATTGCTTAATATTCCCAGTGGGACTTGTTTAGGTGTGAAGGAAGTTAACTTGTGCAAACAGGCTTTGTGCAATACCTGTTTCTCTTCCAAAAAAACCTACACCTTACCCAGAAAATTGATTTGGTTTTTGTTGTGCAGATACAGGTGCCAAGCACATGCCCAGAATGACTAATAAACATGTTTATCCAAAACCTTTAATGATGCATTGGTACTTGCCTGGCATGAGGTTCTTCTAATCTCATTATCTGCTCACATTCTAAGTGGAGTTTTCCAAGTGTATTTCCAAATAGACACTTTTTTTTTTAAATTGTAGCTGAGGTGCTAGCTAGAATAAAACTGTAAGTTTTAATTGAATTTTGTACTTTTAAATTTGGAAGTGTCAGTTTCAACAACTTAGACCCTTTTCTGTTATGTCTCCTCTATTCAGAATTCACTGGTTTGTACCATCTCAAGTTTTCATGTGCACACTGCACCATTATTTGAGGAGTAAGAAAATCTATGTCCTTTTTTCTAGCTTCTCAGTTTAGTCTGATCATGCACTTACCTCCAGCAGTGCCTAAGTATTATTGCAGAGTTCAAAAATATGCAAACCAACATCGGGATCTGAATTTACTAGAACTGACAAAGTAAAGGTTAGAAGAAAGTGAAGCTTTGACTGTAGAATCCATTCTCTGTCAGTGTATCAGTGTCCAGAATGGAAGTTTTAATTTAAAAAGCATACTCCTCCTCCAAAACAGGAGAAGAGAAATCTTACTTCCTGCCTTTAGATTTGTGCAGAAAATGTTGGAAACATGAGTTTTTATTCAATAGAGTTTTTCTACATATTCTGAAAGAATAAAGCAGTTGAAAATACTAACCTGATACTGAGCACTCTCAGTACCAGAAAGATCCTTACTGTCCAAGGCTCTGAAACCTAAATATCACAGCCCAAATGTTAGTACTTTTTAAACTGACATTTTTTTTAGCAAAATTTAAAAATAATGTTCACCTTCTACACTGCCTGTGTCTCTGATGCCTGGAATTCCTGGATGCCAGTGTACCTTGCCACTTATATGTGAAATTTGGAAAATGAAAACCAATGACAGCACACAATATTCTGGCATGTTAGGATGAATACGGTGGCTATTTGTAATATACATGCACATAGTTAAATAATTATTCTTTAAGACTTTGCTGCCACTGCACTGCTTTTAATCAAACCAGTTTCCTGGAATGCAGGATTTATTTCTACCACAGTTTAGAAGGACTATGTGCATAAAGGATACTGTAACTCAAAAATATATTAGTCTCCTTCATGCAGGTTTTAAGAATTCTTTAGGTTTTTTCCTAGTGTAAACAACATTAACCTAGTACAGAATGTATTGGATTGGTGATGAAAATTCAGTATTGATTGGATGGGTCTACATTCAAGCTATTGGTAGCAGTTTTTTTCTTCTTTGCAAATCAACTTTCTGTTGTAACTCTGGGTTAGACACCTCTAAATTTGGAATTGTTAGAGGTCAGCATTATACATAGTGTGGGTTTCTTTGTGGTGTAATTCTGCATGTCTCATGGTGATGGTCTAGCTGAAGGCTGAAGAGGAAAAAGACTTCCTCAGCAGATATGTGCAGGTCTGTGCACATTAGCACTGTAACAGCTTTCTTCCACAAGTGATTACAGCACATTTTATAGCTGATGTAAAGCAATTTTTATTACTTAAAAGAAGCTTTAGAGGTGCAAAAAATCCTCAAAACCACAAAAATGCAAAACATAGCAAGAGTCAAATTCCCTTTTCCAGCTGCAATGTAAAAAGCATTCAGCATTTCTGAGCCCCGATGTTAAGTATGTCATATAATGGCCAGTCAGGTATAAGACTAAGTTACATACAAAGCTTTCAGTATCTCTTGTACTGTCCAAAAATGGTCATTATTGTAAATATACCCTGAACAGACATTTTACTTATGTAAATGACAAGGGTCCTTTATGGTTGCTTAACATGGTTGATTTTAAGAGTTCCCCTTCCAGCTTTGCCTTTTGTTAGTCCTTCCATACTTTTGATTCTTCAGTTTCTTCCACTTTTTAAATTCTACTGCATGTGTTCAGATTGTTTCTTTTCACTTTTCTGGCCAGCTGCTTTGATTTTGGACAATACACAACCTGCTATGGTCATGTAATTTGGGGTTTAAACAAATGTAATTGAACATTTCAGTGAGAAAAAAGACATGTATTGCTATTAAATTATGACAAAGTGAATGTTTTTTGAATTTCCAATATTAGTGAATTAATGACAGGGTCATCCAAACTCCTGAAACTGTTTATAACTTTAATCCTACAATGATTTTGTGGTATTTCAATAATACTCTAAATGTAAACTGCAGAAATACTGGAAGAGCAGGAGGCTGTGTGGAGAGGGAAGGATCAATATCCCAAGGTTATTAATTTTAGTTTTTCAGGTGAATCTTTCTTGCTGGTGTAATATACTCTTAGCTTCAGCATTATTACCTATTTCAAAAAAGCATTTTTGTATGCTAGCAAGGGATCTTTTTTCCTATGTGGATAATATAATAAATAGATATTTTTCATGTTAATTACCTAATAATACACAGCAATTATCCTGGGGGAAAAGTTCTAAAATTATTTTAGAGGTGATAAAAAAATAAATGGAATATTGGTGTTTTTTAAGTGGAACGTCAACTAATGGAAAAGTTTCAGCCACTGATTTCTGTTCTCTACTCCTCTGTCACAGCCTGAGTGTTGGTTAGCTGCAGAGTTAGAGGAGGGGATTTCTTAGGGGTTAAAATTAATTTTCTTTTTACTGGGATAGTTTTAATTCATATGTGCTTCCTGACTCAAACGAACCTTTGTTCATGCAAGAGCTTGTGCTGTGGCTGTGTGCAAGCACAACCAGATTTGTTTTTTGAAGCAGTAATGGTTTATATGAGACAGTGACTGATTTTTTTTTTAAATTAACTTTCTGTCAGTAATCACATGTTGATAAAGTAATAAAATACGAGTTCCTTGCAAAAGTAAAAGGTGATAAGTAATACTTAAGAAAAAACTATTCTACCCATTAGGATTTCTGTAGATAGTCTGTATGTAGTACATCTAACTCTGCTTATTCCTTTTACTTCTGAGATTGATACCATTGGACAGGATGGGTTCAATATGCAACTGGATTTTTTTGTTTAGGATAATTTTCATTTTCTTTATAGAATTCTTGGGAAGATAGAGAATTGGTTGAATTGTAAACTGAACTATCTTGTACAAGGACAGTAGTATCATTGGTATGAACTCTTCTGAAATTTGCAGGAAATATTTTTAAGACCAAATCCCTAATGTGTTGGGCAAGGGGCCCCATATATTCTTTGGGGATGTAGATGAGGACTGAAATACGCTACTGTTAATTTAGGGACCTGCTCTGAACAATCCTTGGTCCCCAGTTGGGTGTTAACCTTTATCTTCTTCCCATGAGTTGCTGAGTTGAGTTTCTAGCGATTTGCCACTCTCTGCTAGGTACCACAAGGTGGAAGATACAAGCCTTTCTCTCTTCTGTCATCTTAAGGGATTTTTCTCCAAAATAATTTCTGCTCAGGAATGTGGACATTCAGCAACCATGCAAAAGCTCTAATAGTGTTCCCAGCGGTTTCAGGTAGAACAATGACATGATAAGTTGTCTCTGTGCTTACAATCCTTCATTTCTGTGCAGAGTGCTAATGGAAATGGATTCTGCAGTAGCAGGGGATACTACATGTCTACAGGGGGAGGTCGGTTAGAAATTGTAATGAGGTTGTTCTCATGCTACAAAATAACCAAGTAGCTGCTACTGCAAGCAAAACATTATTTTTATTGATCCGGTGTATGGAGAAGCTCTGAATACAGTTTCCAGATCTACAGAATAAGAAGTTACTAGAATTTTGTACTCATGGTAAACATCAGAGGCTCTTCATATCAAGGTTTATCTGTCTATGTCGCTACATCCTATTCTACTGACAAATTACTGTGTATATCTCTATACCATCGTGTATTTATTTAGCAAAGTATTATTTGCAAACAGATTAAAAGTCTGCCTTTCAATGCCAGTAGTTATTTTAAATCAAGATCAGGTAAGGCAAATCTCATATTTCAACTTCATTTGCTCTCCTGGCATAGCACTGCACAGTAATCTGAATGCAGAATTTGTTTCGGAGTGCTGTGCTCACATCAGTGGGTTGAATGTATATTAAAAGCAAACGGATCTAATTGAAAGTTGGATAGTAAGTGTTGGTAGTGTCTGTAAGTTTGAAGTTTCTATTAATAACAATACATCTTGTGGGTGAGGAGAGGAATTAGAAGCCATCTACCATTTTATAATTATTTTTAAATGAGATTTTCGCAATTTTCAGTAAGATAAGATAAATACAATACTTGCAGCATCGCATTTAAAATAACTGCAGTGAAGGCATGCTTGTGGAAGGTCTAATGAAGCCTGAGCAAGGAACTGAGAGATAGTCCAGTTGTTATGCTGGTGGAACTGGAATATTTATTAAATTAGTACTGGTCTCACATAGGTGCAAGAATATCTGACATACATTAGAGTGATGGGAAAATGCAGACTTTTACTACTAGAAGTCTTGAGGAAAATATCAGTTTGCTAACAGCAGGTAATACTTCTTTCCACATTTAAAATTACCTGATTTGCCAAGTGGATTGTTTATATTTCAGCATATGGAATCATTGGTGAAAGGGATACAGTAATTTTATTACCAGAAGTAAGGTAAAGAAAATCAAGCTACTCTGAGAGGCCTGTAAACCTCTGTGACAAATTCTCTGTGAATCTGTAACTAGTATGTATTTCTAAACTTTGTTGAGTCATGTTATGGAGACATATTAAAATAGGCTGGTTTTGTATGTAACTTGCTCCTCCATGTCTTCTCATGAAGTCAAGAAATACCAGTTTCAGTTACATGCCTATTGCTGATGTTACATTGCCCCGGATGTAGAAAAGCTCCAGGGTTTGTGTTCAACATGGAGTGTTGAGACATGCATGGCAGGTGCTCTGCTGGGGACACCAACCTCCAAGCTTGGGTCCCCTGTGCTGACCCAGAGGATGTGCTGGTGCTGTTCTAGTGTGTGTGTGGCGGCGAACCCCATGCTCTTCGACTGGGAGCTGTTACAGCTACCTGGCTGGAAGGACTGAGGGCAGATTGTTCTGGGCTCTTGTCTGGTGAAGATCTGGCATTCTGTTTGGAAATTACATCTGTGAACCCCATCTTGAAACTCAGTGCCAGCCCCATCACATTCTCACTAAACTCACTGATGAGGTGTCCCATAGCTGTTGTCCCATAGCTGGTGCATCAGCAGTTCCTTCTGTATCAGAGTGAGATTTGAAGCTGTAGTTTATGCACTACAGGTTTCCTTACTCATTTCTTGGTTTAGTTTACAAAAAGAGTGAATGATGGTATAGCCAGTAAACTGGGAGGATGAGACCTGGTTGTTGGTTGTCCTCCAATGAATATTTGCATTTTTATATTAAAATTCACTTGGACAGGAACAGTGCTATGGTCTTTCTCCATCTTCTATGAAAGTGTATGTTTGGTAGTCCTAGGGAAGAGTTCAGGATGGGAAGGGTGAGCTGGTCAAACAATTGTAATTATTTTATGGCAGTTCCATGCTTTAATACGTTTCTTATATTTGACTATTAAAAGCTACCTTTTACAGCAGCCAAGGAAGCTTCAAAGTACAGACAGCTCCTTGGATGTGCTGAAATAATGCTGAGAAACTCTGCAGCTTAGTATAGTTTAGAGTTGGAAGATTAAAAGACTGAATGTCCCATGGTTCTTCTGCACAAGATCTTTCACCTGTAAAAATCACAGCCTATAAACTCATCTGTGATGCTCTCTCTTGTAATCTGAGGTGACTTTCCACCACCCAGAACTATTCACGTAGGAAGAGCACTTGGCTGTCCATGTGCTTCCTCACTCTGGCAGAGGCATTGCCTGGAGGGAGTGGAACACCCTCAAAGGATCTGTGGAATGGGGGATTCACGTTGAAGGAAGAGCTTGGTGCCCACTGCCTTGGGGGACCTGCCGGTTTCAGGCTTGCTTTTCTTATATGGGGTGCTGCATATTTAAAATGACAATTAATTGACATGGAAGTTGTGTCCGTATGTATGTTGTTGGGTTTGGTTGTGGGTTGGTTTTTTGGTGGTTTTTTTTTTTGTAATCCAGCTTTAAAGGTTTCCTTGTTCTTGCCTGAAGGATAGGCAGGGCTGGCTGCAGAGGCGTAGTTAGTAAAAGCACTGGTGCACGTTTTAGTCAGCACTTGGAGCTTTGCTGCTGGAACAGTGCACTCCACCCATGGACTTGTTTGAAGCTCTCGCGTATGCTTTTTAACGCAAATACGCACCTTCACTAACAGATATTAAGCTCTCGCGTATGCTTTTTAAGGCAAATACGCACCTTCACTAACAGATATTGTGCTAGTGTTACCAACATTGTTTTATTCATCTAGTGGAAAAGTAAGTGTGCTTGAGCTTTTTTTTTTTTTTTTTTTTTTTTTTTCTTTTTTTTTGGTTTTTTTTTTTTTTTACTTTTTTGTTGGTATTTTATTTGAGGATGAAACTGTATTAATTTCATACTTGTCTTAAAATTCATAATATTCTGGAAAGGGATTGGGAAGTTAAGTGGCTGAAGTTCAGTTCGTAATAGAAGTTTGTTAGACTTACATGTGTGTAGTAGATGATCCTTAACAGCAACTCTTATACTGTTGATTACAGGAACATAGAGAAGTTGCCAGACAGTTGTTTTTATTTTGCATTTCCTTGACTATTAGATGGGAAACTAACCCATAAGATGGACATTGCCATCATGAGTAAGTATATAAAGTATTAATTGTTCAGATCATTCAGGAGCTGTGTGGCTTATCTTTGATGTGATTATGCAGCTTTGATTTAATCCTTGTCCATTTAATTGTGTAACAACTAAAGAAAACCTTCTGAAGAGTCAGGCAGGTGCTATTTTTTAAGTCATGTTGCTTCCTCTCTCTTCCTTACATCTTGTTCCCTCCCTGTTACAATATGCTGTCTAGAAACTAAATGGGTTTACAGCTGTCCTCTTCCCTTCTCGTCCTTTGCCTAATAGCGGAAGGTTATGCTGCATTTCAAGAGGACAGTTCCGGTGATGAAGCTGAAAGTCCATCAAAGTTGAAGCGGTCCAAGGGAATACATGTCTTCAAGAAACCCAGCTTTTCAAAAAAAAAGGAAAAGGATTTTAAAATAAAAGAGAAACCCAAAGATGAAAAACATAAGGAAGACAAACATAAGGAAGATAAACATAAGGAGAAGAAGTCAAAAGACTTAACTGCAGCAGATGTTGTAAAACAGTGGAAAGAGAAGAAGAAAAAGAAAAAGCCAATTCAGGAGACAGAGATACCTCAAGTGGATGTTCCAAGTCATAGACCCGTGTTTGGCATTCCTTTGTCTGATGCGGTAGACAGGACCATGATGTATGATGGCATCCGCCTGCCAGCAGTTTTCCGTGAATGTATAGATTATGTAGAGAAGTACGGCATGAAATGTGAAGGCATCTACAGAGTTTCAGGTACTCTGGGCACACTGACATGCAGGTTCCTAAGGTCTTCACTTGCAATTTTCTTATTATTTTTTGATTTTCAACACCTAGAGGCTCTGTTTATAGCTGCATTAATTTTAATTATCCAAAAGATAATCAGGTAGCTAAAGTTCAGCAAACCCATAAGTCTGAAGTACCAGAACAGTTGCTAATATGGTGGTACTGCTTAATGGTAGTAAAAATACACTTGTTCTGGCCTTTGTGATAGGATGGTAGCATTGAATAAAATGTGTGAGTGTGGCCAGCTTGTATTTTGTTACTGCTGCATTAGAAATACAATGCTAGTTGCAAAAGCGAAGACGAGATATAACCATTTTATTATTTAAGCTTCCCACTAAGTTATTTTTTCCAGTTACTTGCATTGTATGACTTTTTTTTTCTTAAAAACTTACTTTCTTTGAGCATATACACAAATAAGCAGAAAATAAAAGTTTAACTATTTAAGCTTAGCAGCAGCAGGCTAATTAACCATGGTAGTTGTGTAACACTAGCTTACATAAATGAAACATCAGTTTTAAGCCATGTTAACCAAAACAGTCCCTTCACTGGTGAACTGCGTCTGTAATATAACTGCTGTGGGTATGTTTAAGGGAGCAAGAACACGTGAGAAAAGGAATTTGACAAAAAGCATTTGAAACAAGTGCCTAGCACTGGAAAATATAAACCAAACAATTTTAAAGGCTTCATTCAAGGCCAGGCTGGATGGGGCCCTGGGCAGTCTGCTCTAGTGGTTGGCAACCCTGCCCACAGCAGGGGGGTTGAAACCAGATGATCTTTAAGGGCCTTTTCAACCCAGGCCATTCTGTGATTAAGCTGCCTTCATGCTGTTGCTCTGCATGGTATTTGGTAGGCATGCGTAACTACTGCAGCAGCTTAAGCAGTGTCTTCGTCTTGCCTATTGGCACTTTCTGGTTGCGTGTTTTTTCAAGACACCAGGTGTTGGCAATTTTCACAGGAGGGGGTATGTAATAATTGATAATTTTGATGTTTGTACTTCCTAGGTGTTCTCCAGTGCAATAACACCTTCTTGCGTGTGTAAGATTGTTTAAATTGAGAGCTCAGAGAGATAATTGCAGTAGCTTAACAACCTACCAGCAGTTGTGATGACTAACACATCATATTTTACCTGGCATTTCCCACAGGCTGAGTGCACCCAGTTTTGCTTATTGTGTATGAGACAAGCCGTGGCAGTGCATTAAGCTGGTGTAACTCAAGTGGGTGTTCAAGCTTTAAGAATGAAATTTCCCAGAGTTTGGGAAGATTGGAATGTCACGGAATTACAAAACATCTTACAGAAAATCTTGGCTGGGTTGAATGATTATGTGAGCACGCTTTTATTCATGCAGTGCCTCAAATCAAGAATTCCTGTGTGAGATTCCTCCACTGAGGAGGCCAGCTGGAAATCTGGAAACTAAGAAGTGTGGGGTTTGTTTTGACAGAGGAAAGCTGTTGTAGGTAGAACTCGCTGCACAATATTCGAGTTGATAACATATTTGCTGCTTGGCTTAGAGCTGTATAATTGAATAGCCTGAAAGATGCTGAATGCAAATACACAATTGATCTTCTGTTCCCGTACTCTTCCTCACCCTGTTTTATGCTCCGTGATGGGAGGGAATGCTGGCACCAGTTCTGATTCAGAGCTTCAGCAGGGCTGTGTTTTTGCTTCATAGTAGTGGTCAGTGCTTTTAGAAGCAGTCATCAGTGATCATAGAATTCTGAGTCATGCTTTTAACTTTGTTACATGTGGATAAATTTTTAAAGGTATCCCTCAATTAGCTTAAATTGTAAGGAGAGGTGAAATAAACGCATCTCAAAAAAATGAGTATTATGCATTTACAATTGAAGATTTCTCTTAATTCTTGATCTAAATATTTTAAGGAATAAAATCAAAAGTTGATGAGCTAAAAGCAGCCTATGATCGGGAAGAATCTCCCAACCTGGAAGAATACGAGCCCAATACAGTAGCCAGCTTGCTGAAACAGTACCTACGAGAACTGCCTGAAAATTTGCTTACCAAAGAGCTAATGCCCCGCTTTGAAGATGCTTGTGGAAAGAGCACAGAAGCTGAGAAAGTTCAGGAGTGCCAGAGGTTGCTGAAAGAGCTGCCAGAGTGTAACCATCTCCTAATTTCTTGGCTAATTGTGCATATGGACCATGTTATTGCAAAGGAACTGGAAACAAAAATGAACATCCAGAATATTTCTATAGTGCTCAGCCCTACTGTCCAGGTATGTGCACCACACAGCAAGTGTTTGTTAGAGCAGAACTTGAGCTCAAGAGAGACTTTGTAGGAATTCTCTTGCAGGTGGAAATTGGGTATTGTTAAGCTAAATTACAGCTTCTCTTTATACCTCGGGAACCTAAAGTGCTGGGAAAGGGGGAGCAAAAGATTCTCCGAATGTGAGCTTGCATACTGTGGGTCTGGTATTTGGGTTATGAGAGCATTACAAAGACTGCTGTCAGGGTTTTAATTCTGCTGTGAACAGAAGCAATTTAATGTTGAAATCGTCCAGTAATTCATGCAGATACACAGTTTCTGTGGGCTTGTGATTCAGTGGTATTTCAGTGAGGAATATAGTGTTGTTTAATTTTAATGTCAAGCCAATGAACCCTGTCCTGCAAATAGATCTTGGTGCAGCAATGACTTGGGTGTAATGGCTTTGGTGTCTGCAGTCACACTGCTGAGGAAAACAACTGACTTGAGTTTCCAACTAAGACTTTGTGGTTTCTGGATTAATTCCTTAATAAACATCTTGGAAATATTTAATTTAAATACAGCTCTGAAGGAGTCCTGTGCATACTGGAAACACTGCATTTTGGGTGTGGGTCTTCTCAAAGAAAACCCACACTATGGAAAAGCTTGGCTTTATAATTAAGAGGGTAGAGGCCCAGTAGCAAAAGGGCCGGGTATTATTCTTGGCTATTTTGCTGTGACAGATACTTCCTAGCTAACAAAAGAAGTAACAATTACTGTAGAACAAAACAGGCCCAATCAGGTTTTGTTGTTAAGTAGATTTTAGCAATTAAAATGTAGGTACTCACAGAACTCTAATCTTTCAGAATAAATTTTTGAATTTTAATGGAGGATATAGTATCAAAATAAATATTTGCTTCTGTCTCATGTTGAAACAAGGAATAATACAGTAGCAGCTCCTTTCAGTAGCAGCTGCTTTTTCTACTATATTAAATCATCAGTGAGAGAAATTCTAGAAAATATGTACAGTTTGAGGGAGGAGAGAGAAGGTAGCCAGCAACCAGCCATAGCACAGTATGGTTGGTGTTCCCTCCTACCTATTTCTATCACTATGTACCTTCACATGAGTAAAAGAAAGATTTAATACATTTCTGTATCCACCAGTGATAAAAATAATTGTGGTGGGTTAAGGTGTGTGAAAATTCGGAGTTTAGCATGAACATGCCTCAGATGTATACATGGGAAGAGAGATAGTGAAGTGGTTCCTTGAGGCCAGCATTGTGTTGTTTAAAGTATCATTTTTAATCCAGATTTTAATCTCTTTGGACAAACTACCATGACTATGACTCTCAGAAAGGCATACTAAAGGCTGTTCTGTATCTGGAGAAGGATTCTATGCTTCACAGATAAAGATGATGTGAACAAATCAGCTTAACCAATATTTCGTCTGTCCTTTCTTTGCAGATCAGCAACCGTGTCCTGTATGTATTTTTTACTCATGTTCAAGAGTTCTTTGGGAATGTGACCTTAAAACAAGTGACAAAACCTCTTCGCTGGTCAAATATGGCAACAATGCCAGCACTTCCAGAAACACAAGAAAGCATCAAAGAAGAAATCAGGCGACAGGTTGGCATATACTTCAGTGTTTTCCTGTTTCTTTGCCCTGGCTTTTATAGATTCAGTAGCAAATTCTCATAAGCTTGTGACATACTCTGCAGTTGTATCCCAATTGCTCTGTCACTTGAGACCACTGGAAAGATGGGTGATATTCTTGCCCATTTCATGTGCAGAAAGTTGTTATGGTCTTGTGGTGATTATAGCCCTGTATTTTGTGGATTGCTTTGCTATGTAGCTCAATACTTTTATTGTGGGAGGAAGGTTAGGAGAACATGTTAAAGAGTGTGTTTTCTTTAATCTTGCTCTTCAGCTAGTTGCAAATCACATGCTGAGTGTGTGTTAACACTTGTTGGTCAATATGTCAAGCATTGAAAAACAGAACTCCAAGCCTGTTGCCACAAAGCCAAAAGGATTTTTCTTTTCAGTCTGCCCTGCTATGATATATTAAAGACACTCATTTCTTTGGCTATATTTCTAGGAGTTTCTACTGAACTGTTTACACAGAGACTTGCAGGCAGGGATAAAAGACTTATCCAAAGAAGAAAGACTCTGGGAGGTACAAAGAATTTTAACAGCTCTTAAGAGGAAACTAAGAGAAGCTAAGAGACAGGTGGGTAACTTTTCTATTTATTAGCCAAACATCTAAATCATGGATCTCATTTGTGGCAGTGCAGGGGCACTCAGATCAAACCATGTTTCAATCTTACTGCAGATTTTTTCATCTTAATTTTACATTGTTGAGGAGCAGTTGCAGTTGCTGGTTAGCTAGCTCTCCCTAGGGACAGCAAGATCTTACCACTCCTTAACAGCTGTTTACAAAAAGAAAATGTATGATTAAAAACTTAAGTGTTTGACAGAGCACGTGCTCATTATATGCTTAAAGCAGTGTGTCCTGGAGTACCAAGAGGAATTACTGGAAGACTCAAGGTTAATAAACTTCAGAAGCTTTTTTTTAAACTGTCATATGTCCCAGAGAAGGGACAGACCTTGCTGAAAACTTTCAGGACAACTGAGATGGTGATTCTAAATTTGGAAAACAATATGTTCAAAAAAATCTTTTTTACAGTAAATAAGAGTGACTTAGGGAGCAGTCCTTTTAAAAGTTGTACTCTTTCTTTGGCAGGAGTGTGAAACAAAGATTGCACAAGAAATTGCTAGCCTTTCAAAGGAGGATGTCTCCAAAGAAGAAATGAATGAGAATGAAGAAGTTATAAATATTCTGCTTGCACAGGTAGATATCCAGCAGGCAGTACCTGTTTGCTGTTTTTTTTCCTTTTCCATATCTTTCAGAAATATTAAACACTCTTTTGTTCCTTCTAATGCAATGGGAAACTGAAGGCTTAAAGGGATCTCTCTGTCCATTAAAACACAAGGCTTTGTTTTAATGGTAAATAAAGTAGGGAAGGAGTGCTGACTGCAGGAGTGAACCCAAAGCTGCGCAGACTCTTGTTAACAACAGAATGGAGATACCATGCAACAACAGGAAAAAAAAAAAGTAGCCTTTGTTGTTAATGTACTTAGAAAGCACTTCCAAATCTAAGCAGTTTTAATACCGTTAACTACTTCCCTGCTGCTCAAAGGAAGTAGTGCAACTATTTTGGCTTCTTTGCCTTCCTTTGCTTCCCTCAGTAGCTTTGATCTCTCCACTGTACTTTCCTCCTTATACTCAGCTTCAAAGATGCATTTTATAATTCCATTTTTCTAGTTATCTTACTGGTTAGCCAGAGGTTGCCCCTGTGATTTAAGGAAAAAGGGAGCCAAACATGCCAGAATTTGGTGTGTCATCTCTACAACTATTCAGTACAGCGATTGTCTTGAGGATTCAGAACAGACAGCATTAGTTTTGAACTTGCATTTGCTTTGAGGTCTTGATGAATCAGAGTTCAAAGCAGGCATGCTAACCACTTCTGCTGAAAGGTATTTCAGAGAACAGTATCACCTCATACTTATATGTTCCTGTAGAAGATAAAGCCTTGACTTTAAGTGAACTTACTGGTCATTGCAGGAAAACGAGATTTTAACAGAACAAGAAGAACTGCTGGCCATGGAGCAGTTTCTGCGGAGACAGATTGCCTCGGAGAAGGAAGAAATAGATCGCCTTCGAGCAGAAATAGCTGAAATACAAAGGTAAAAGGGAGACTGCTTACATCAGAGCCCCTGCCAGGCGAGCACTCTTTGATTAAAAGTACAAACATGCTCTTCTAAAAAAATACTCTAAACTACACTTAAAAGCTCACCCTGTGAACATCACATTTGAAAGCCATCTTTTTTTCCTGAAATCTCAGCACCTTTGGACTTCTCAGGATATTTTCTGTTAGTATAACAATGGACTTATGATCAAAAGGAAACTAGACCCTGTGCACGAAAAAAATCCCCTTAGGAAATCAATGGTTTATTAAATTAAGCTTTGAAAGGAAATTCTTATTTGTTTTTAAAACCATTACAGATTATTCAGTGGACATAAGTCTTTTATGCTGCTACAGTTCTGGCAGACTTGAGGAAGTGTTTAAATCAGAGTTTGTCATTGGTCTTTCAGTCGCCAGCAGCATGGCCGAAGTGAAACTGAGGAATATTCTTCTGAGAGTGAAAGTGAGAGTGAAGATGAGGAGGAACTGCAGGTCATCCTGGAAGATTTGCAGAGACAGAACGAGGAACTGGAGGTAAGATTTGAGTCTTAGTATTAATTGGTACTTTTCTTAGTGGTTACTTGATTCAGTCTGTGCAGAGATGTTTGCACATGTGCAGTGGTAGTTCTGCATCAATTGTGCCCAAGCATGTAACCCAGTCACCATTGTGTGCAAGTCTGCGTTGCTGTCTGGGTTAATAGCAAAGCTTCCCTGAGCACTGCTAAATGTCCCTCCTAGCTACAGCACTTCTTTGCAGAAGGAGCCCTGACATTTGTTTTCCTTATTTAAAAGATAAAGAACAATCACCTGAACCAAGCGATTCATGAGGAGCGAGAGGCCATCATAGAGCTGCGAGTACAGCTTCGACTACTGCAGCGAGCTAAATCGGAGCAGCAGGTGCAGGAAGAAGAGGAGCCAGAAAAACGCACGGGTGTTTCTCAGCAGCAAAGAGACACTGTCCTGGAGACAAAAGCAGCCAAAGAGCAGCCAAAAGCAAGCAAGGAGCAGCAAGTCAAGCCATCGCCAAGTAAAGACAGGAAAGAAACTCCAATTTGATCCAGCTCCTTGGATATGCATAAAATCAACTGAACTGTGCAAATTACTGTAATTTGAGTAAAACTGCACAAGTTATTGCTGGCTGTGTACATTCTGTAAAGAAACTTTTCTTTTAAGCCCTGGAGACTTTTGTCTCTAATACTTGTGGCTTCTACTCATCAGATTCAGGTGAGTTTGGAGAAGCCAGAAGAGTTTTCCAGTTAGTATCAGATTATTTCAATACTGGTTTTCTTCAGGTGATTTAAAATAATTCAGCAAGTTTTATGTTAAACCAAAATCATTATTTACATTCATTGGAGCAGAATTGGAAGATCTCATTTTCAGTAAATAAACAATACCCCACCCACACTTACTAATTATTTGCCTTGTGAATCTGTTCATCCTCATTCACTATTATTTCTGCTTATTAACCTAGTCACTTCTTGCTTGTGCCTTTGATACCTTTCTGATGCAGATTATATATTGAGGGAGCTTTAAATTTATTCTGGGTTGGCTGAAAAGTTGGGAGACTGTGGGGTATCGTGTTTACCTAACATGCCCTTAAGCTTCATTTTTGTTCCGAGATGTACTGAATAAATGTAAAAATGTGAGAGATGTTATTTATGTCCCTGTATGATGGAAATGTTCATCAAGAGCTCTTCATGTCTTTTAGCAATGTAGGTAACCCATTTATAAACCACTGTCATCATACCTGTTTAAGGCGGGCTGTGTTTCACTGCTGACGTAGCCAAGAGCTTTTCTTTGTCCATTTTAAATGTTTCAGTCCCGCAGAGAAAGCCACTGACAAATGCTTTAGGCAGTGATGGGGATGGGTTATGTCACTTAAGGCAGATCTGCCTGACCAAGCAATATCGCATTTCCTCCGGCAGAAATTCAAGTCAGTCACTTGTGCTTTCCACATAAGCCTGAAGAGTGATGCCAATGGGAGGCACTGGGGGTTTAGCAATAGCCTTGGTTTTTGTTGTTGTTTTAAAAAAACCCAACCACCACCCCCTGGGACTTGCTTTTGGTTTGGCTGCTTCTACCTGTCAAAAGCCTCCAGCCACGCTGGCATTTAAAGGCCATTTAATGTTTCAGATACACTCGCAAAACTCATCCATCAACTCGCACATAGACAGCACACTCCACAGAGTGCGTATAGGCTATCTTATTTTTTAATCTGGATATTTATTTTCAGCACCTGTTGGATGTGGTTGTATTCTTTATCTATTGCACTGTTGTGAATCATTGGCCATGATTTGATTTTGTACAAATAATGCTTTGATATGTTATAGAAAACAGCATAGTATTTTTTTAAAATTTGGAGAAAAGTTTATAAAAACAGAAAATGTGGTCAGATGACAAATGTAAACTAACGCATTCTCCCTTGCTTCATTACATACATTTTATATTTGCTGGCAATATTTAAACTTTTGTTTGGTTGTTTGCTTAATTCACACTAATTTCTATTGAATGTTCATGGATTTTTTTCTAATGATCTTCAGACAAATCTCTTAATATTGTTTAACTTTTATTTTGTTAGGATTGTATTTATCAAGCAAATAAATTCAACAGCCATTTGAAAGTTGTTTCTAATTTATCTACTTTATAATGCAAGTGATAGTTATTCTTCTTGGGTAGCTACCTGTAGTTGGGAACATTAAATGAAAAAATGAATTCAGGCTTTCTTAACAGCTCTCCTCTGAAAGACCACTGTCTGCAATCAAATGTCATAGAAAGCTTCCATAACTCATCTGAAGATCAAGTTTAATTTGATCAAATTAAAGACTTTGCTTCTCTGTTACTACTAGAGATGGCAGTTGTGAAGGTAAAAACCATGCTATGTCTTCAGATCGCTACTGCCAACACACAAACAGTGTTTTCACTCTGCAGGGACCTCAGCTGGACTGAGGCCCTTGAACTGAGCAATTTTGACCTTGAAAAGATTCACTGTATCCTTGAGAGAACAAACAGGCACACGAAGAATTGCAAGATAAGCAAGAACAAGGAAGTGTCGACTGCAAGACGAGGCATACGTGTCTTTCGTACAGAGGAACGGAGTTGTGATGAACTGTGCAACTATTATCCAATGACAGATAAGCACAGTAACTTTGGACCATTGCGAAGAAGACACATCGGGGGAAACCAAAAAAAAAAGAGAGTATAAATAGAGAAGAAAGAGAATACAGGCTTCTGTACTAACTTGCTTTTACCAAGATTTGTTGTCTTGTCATTTTTGTCTGTCTCGACCATGACAAGTGGTGACCCTGACGTGATATCAACTAACAGAATTGTGAGAGGATGGGACTGCTGGATAGGCCAGTGAAGCTGAGAGTGGCGGTGGAGCTGCTAAGGCTGTGCACCAATAACTGACACCAAATGTACCAGGTGAGCCACTGGGAACATGGGCGCAACACTCACAGAAGAGGAGGCTTTGGGACTTTTAACTACATGGTGATTATTATTAGAGATTCTAAAAGCTCTTAAGCAACACCAGGATGAGACTGAAAAGGTTAGTGACAGCAATAGTGAAATGAAGGGCGGCCTGGGGAAAACAACTGCTGCAGGGTCGACAAACCCTTTTCTTAATGATTTACCTGGGAAAGACACCTCCCCAAAATTGACTGGTGCTATGGAACCGCAAAAAATATATGCAGCCCCATGAGACTGTGAAGCTTCGTCAATATTTATGTCCTCGGGATACTGGCAATGGATTATATCCTCCTCTAGCTAAAGAGGCTCGTGCAGAATCTTCAGCACCTCCATCATCAGAGAAGTTGGAAGGGACAGTGGGGGGGAATGATTACAAGCTCGGAGGCTCTCGAGTTGTACCCCCCCACCACCACCTGAAGGACCAGGGGATGACTGGAGGGATGAGGAGGAACCGCAACCAACTGAAGGAGTGGGGTGCCGTGGGCCTCCTTGACCCTGGACATTACCTCCCTTCGAGATAATGGTCCTCCCCAGAGACCCTGCTGATTTTTGGAAAGAGGTGAAAAAGCGAGCCATGGAGGAGGGGAATGGGGACTTGTCTGAGGCTATTCAGACACCTGGATTGAGAGATAGTCGCCTTGAGGTTCAAAAAGAGCCTGTTGGGCCCTTGGCATTTCCAGTAGTCTGAGCCACTCAGCAGGGCCAGGGTGATGAGCATGTTGTGTTTGCCTGGAAAGCAACACAAGATCTACAGAAGGCTGCTACTCAGCATGGCCCAAACTCTCCTGCAGTCATGCAGTTACTACGCTTGGTAGCAAATGAGGAGCTGGCTCCTTTGGATATAAGCCAACTTGCGCAGATTATATTTCAGTATTTCACAACATCTGGAGGCAGTGCGCTGATTTACAGACAGCAAAAAACTTGGAAGTTAGATTAGCAAGACCCTAGATAAGGGGTGGGGATGGAACCACTTGCGGGATTAGGGCAATATAGTAATGCTCAGGTGCA